GGACTGCCCACCTCTATCCAGGTCTCGTAAGGTGAGCATTCAAACTGCCTAGTCTCCCACAAAGCCAGTACGTGCAGTAGGATCAAAAACCCACTGCAATTGTTCTTTTTTTTTTTTATCATTTATCCATTTTATTATTGAGTTTAGGTCTTTAATCAATTAGAAGTTTACTTTCTAAGCATAATGTGCAGAGGAAATATGTTATTTTTGTTATTAACCTAATTTTTGAAGTATTTATGCATTACCAAGTGGTCTTTGATATCATATCTTCTATCATATGGTTTTTATTCCATAAATGGATATTATTTAGACTTTTGTTTCTCTTTTGGGATGTACTCACTCATATTTGGTTTCTAGCCATAAATAAAGGACATTGAGCTTATAATTCATGTTCCTAGAGAAGCTAAATAAGAAGGTGAATCCAAAGACAAACACATAGCATCCTCAGGAATATTAACCTTCATCAGGCGATGAAAGGAGACAGAGACAGAGACCCACACGGGAGCACCGGACAGAAATCTCAAGGTCCAAATCAGGAGCAGAAGGAGACGGAGCACGAGCAAGGAACTCAGGACCACGAGGGGTGCACCCACACACTAAGACAATGGGGATGTTCTATTGGGATCTCACCAAGGCCAGCTGGCCTAGGTCTGAAAATGCAATTGTTCTTGAATTCTCAGTATTCCTCATTGTCCGCTATGTTCAGCTAGTCCGGATTTATCCCATGCTTTTTCAGACCTAGGCCAGCTGGCCTTGGTGAGATCCCAATAGAACATCCCCATTGTCTTAGTGTGTGGGTGCACCCCTTATTTTTACTTTTATATTTTCTGTATATCTTTGACATGGAATAACTCTGTAGACCAGGCTGTCCTTGAACTCTCAGAGATCTGCCTGTCTTTGCCTCCCAGGCATTGGGATTAAAGGTGTACACTACTACACCTTGAACTCACAGAGATCGGTTTGTCCCTGCCTTCTAGGCACTGGGATTAAAGGTGTGTGCTACCACACCTTGAAGTCACAGAGGTCAATCTCCCTCTGCCTCCCAAGTGTTGGGATTAAAGGTGTGTACTACCACACCCAACTACTCCCTTCCTTTTTTTTGTTTTTACTTTAAGAACTTCAACTTTTAGTCTGCATATATTTTTACACACAGTAAACCATTTAGAAATTTTCTTTGTCTTTAAATCTCTCTTTACTGTATATCTCCCTTTTTCTGACCACACAAGCCTTTAAATTACTGAGCAATATGGGTGGGATTAAAGCCGTGGCTTTGGCAGTTAGATCCAGCCCATTCCTTAGCTTTCCAGCCTCATGGCTGAGGTACTGCTGTAGCCATGTTTACCGCCACAACTCTATGGCATTTCAAGGTCCCTGCCAGCAAGCGAGCTTCAGCAGCCTGTGCTTGCAAACCCCATGAACTGCCTGTGTAAAAGAGTCAGAGTTTGCCCTGGCAGGACAGCCCAGAAAGCTGGCATTTTTAAACGGTGTAGCTTTTTTCCTGCTACGGCTGAAAACCGAAAAGCATGAGTTCAGCTTTTTGTCAACACGGTTTAAGTGTTTCGTGGCAGGACCTCTTAATGAGCTGCAAGGTTTTGCAGCTAAAGCTGAGTCAGGAAGCCTCTCTTAGATGAGAGTGCTTGCTTGCCTCTAGCAAGCAGAGTAGACCCGAGAAATTGTTGCTACCAAGAAAACACGCTTTACTCTTTCCCAAGCTTTCTCAGGCTTTCAGTGGATTCAGTTGTCCACACATCTGGGCACCATTCTGTAGTAATACGAGAGGTGGGGCTGCGTCCCCAGCACCCCGGCCGTCTGGCTAGCTTATACCCCGAAATAATTACATGGATACTGTATTCTTTTAACCACTGCCTGACCCATTAGTTTCAGTTTCTTTTTGGCTAGCTCTTACATATCGATCTAACCCATTTCTATTAATCTGTGTAGCCCACGAGCTGGCTTACCAGGAATGATTTTAACCTGTGTCTGCCTGGAGTGGGAGAATCATGGCAATTCCCTGACTCAGCTTCTTTCTCCCAGCATTCTGTTCTGTTTTCTCAGCCTACCTAAGGGTTGGCCTATCAAATGGGTCTAGGCAGTTTCTTTATTAATAAGAAATCACTCCCACGTCACTTTCTATTGTAGCATAATGATTCAAAGGAAACAAACAAACAAAAAATCCTTGTTTTTTTCTGTTTTATTTTTTTTTTAAGCTTAAATCACTCCTCTTCTGTGGAAGTGTGTGTGTGTGCACGCTCGCATGCATGCTGTGTGTATGTATGTGAGTGAAAAAAACATAGGCAAAAACATTTAAAAGATGCTCTCATGGAATTAGAAGCACCATGCAGCAGTTGGTATATTTTCAGTTTGTTCGTGGAGACCTTTAGCATTACACCAAGAAGTCATAGCTAACTAGGTGATATAATCTCCAGCAATGTACTCCTTAAACAATGTGTATATCTTTGTCACTGGATTACAGAAATAGATGAGTTACATGTTAAAGAAAAAAAAAAGTTTCTCTCTCTCTGTCTCTCTTTCTCTGACACACACACACACACACACACACACACACTCACAAACACCTCACTCTCACTCTCCCTACTTTCTTCTTCTTCTTCTTCTTCTTCTTCTTCTTCTTCTTCTTCTTCTTCTTCTTCTTCCTCTCTCTCTCTCTCTCTCTCTCTCTCTCTTTCTCTCTCTCTCTCTCTCTGTAATATATACATAGAGATGTAGAAAATGAGATAGTCATCTTCATAGGTCCAAGAAAGACACATGGAAAATTTGGGCCTTCACATTCTAGTTGACTTTGCATCTGTCTAGTGTATGGATCTTAATTTTATTTTTGACAGTGACAACCCAGATTAAAGCTATGTCAATGTTTTGACAAGAATGACTGATGAGCTTAATCAACCAAATTGTCCACTTAGTCCAACATGGGCTTTGTTGGTGTGGCTTTGCTTATGAGTTGTTTTTTTGTGAAATTAACTTGATTTCAATGGAATAGACTAAATCAGCATAATATTAGCTGGATAAATACAGCACTCAGAAGATCCTCAAATAGCTGGACCAAAGGTTAAAGAATAACTTGTCTTTTCACAAATGTTCCAAATTTATTTTAAGGCATTCTAAAACTTATGTGTTTATGTTTTCTGAAAATGAAAGCATCCGTATGATCCCATTAACAGACAAAAATCATGAACTAGCTTCATGAACTGGAGCACTTTCCATCATTCAGTCATGTTTTTACTTTCAAATTTAAATAAGAAAAACTGTCTTTGTTCCGGAAGATAAAAATCTTAATATAAGAAAAGTATGAATGTTTAGACAGCTATGCAAATTTCTGGATGGTAAACAGAAATATCTTATTTTAGGAACAGTAGATAGTGAATTTCTCCTTTGTGACAATACCCTGCCAATATGTTGACCCAAAGTAAACTAAGAAAATGACATTACAATCAGACTCTCGTGATCATGATGTCTGTGATCAGTGTGATGGATGTGCTGCATTCGTGTGTGTGTGCATACATGTATGTTTAAGAGAAAGAAAAGAGAGAACATAAAGGAAATATAAATGTGACCAGATATACCATGCAACCAGAAGTACTTTTTCTTAATTTTTAAAGTTTTAAAAAATACATTTATTTATGTGTAAACATGTGTGCCTATGTGTGGGTGTGTATGCATAAGTGTAGTTGCACAAAAAAGCCAGAGAGGATGTCAGATACTCAGGATCTGGAATCACAGATAGTTGTGAGCCCCCGATGGGGTCTTGAGAACTAAACTTGGAACCTCTACAAGAGTAGTATGTGATCTCCACCTCTGAGTTATTCCACCAGCCTGTGCCACAAGTACTTTAAGTAACCTGCTCAGAATTTTTACTATGAGTCTATGCACAAACATAGAAATAAGATAGAAGTCATATCATTCTAAAATTTGAAAGACTAGCTATGTTTTCAAAGCAATCACTATTTCTGAGGTCAAAATAGTCCTAACATTTACCTTCCTCTGCTTCTTTTCCCACCCCTGATCTCATCGCAGCCTTTTCTTCCACATTTCATGCTTAGAAAAACAACAGAAAATCCACATATTGTAAATATTATTTTTATGAATACACACATTAGGGAATTAACTAACTTTACAAATTTAATCTGACCTTACGTTTACCCATGACCATATCTCTTATTTAAAAGTCTACTTATTTAATTGTTGGTAAATATTTCAACTATGATTTCAATTATGTCATTTAAAGAAGACTTGGCCAGTTTTTATAAGCACTGAACATTTAACTTTCTTCCAGTGATATACTGGCAAGGGAAAGGAAAAAAGTTAAAACTGTCAGGAACAGAAATCTTCTAGAGCAAAATTAATTATATATGTGCACCAATCATTTAAAATATAAGAACCTTAACATTCGCTTTTGACAGCTATAGAGGATTCATATGGATTTCATGATATTACAAGACTTTTACAATATACAATGTATAAACTTGGGCAAGTAATTCACAAAAGGAAATAAGACAAGCGAGAAAAAGCAGAAACATTTCCCATTACAGAAATAAGATAGTAAATGTTAATAAACACCTGCCATTGTTTGTTTATCATATTGGCTAAATTTAAATGAACTGATTGGGTTTAATTTTGAAAAGTAGGATTATATTGGTGAACTATATTTTTATGTTTTTTGGAAACAGTTTTCTACATATGACTTATGCTTCTTTTGAAAAATCAATTTCATTTTGAAAAAATAAATTCCAAAGTACTTTTTTTGCCACTTTTTTGTAAGAACTTAGTGGCAGCTTAGCGTTTAAAAAGTTATTGCTGTGCTTAAATTGTGGGAGGTTGTGATTTGTTGTTACTGAGAGGAGAAATATTTCCCATTTAAATTATGAGTCCTAGATATTTGTGTTAGTCCTTGTTCAAGTTAATTCCGATACTGGGGAAGCAGACGCATGGATGTCTTGGATGCATAATGATGGTGATGATGTCTTTTCTGCCTCTTCCCATAGCTTTCAGCCGTGCCCCAATTCCCATGGCAGTGGTCCGCAGAGAGCTCTCCTGTGAGAGCTACCCCATCGAGCTCCGCTGTCCTGGCACAGACGTCATCATGATTGAGAGTGCCAACTATGGGAGGACAGATGACAAGATCTGCGACTCCGACCCTGCTCAGATGGAGAATATCCGATGTTATCTGCCAGATGCCTATAAGATTATGTCTCAAAGGTACGGTGCCTCCAGCCTCCAGACTTTTTCCTTGTACATATATCAAAATTCAACATAAATCAGGTTGACAGGCTGAATACGGATAAGAGTAGAAAGTGGTGTGTGCTTTAGAAGGACTTGACAGTTTTACACCGTAGATCATTCCTCCTGTCTCTGCGAATGATGGTGCTATAATCCCGTCATGGCAGTTGGGCAATAGAAAGCTCATTAGTATTATTAGTAAGTGTAATGATGCACGGTGCCTAGTGTTAAGTTCTGACAGTGTTCTCTAAAAATGGTTTGGTTATATAAGAGAAAAAAAATTTCTTTTTCCCCAGTATTATCACTAAAATTTATAGTGCAGAAATAGTCTTATTCCTGATTATTCCCTAATTGTGTTAAGAATAATAGACAAAACAAAAGGCTGGGTTAGGGGCTAGAGATACTGCCCAGGTTCAGTTCCCAGCATCAAGATGGGACCCAAATACCAGCTACTACATGTAACTCCATTTTCAGGGGCTCTGACCCCTCTTCTGGTCTCCATTGATACCTGGATACATGTGTTGCACGTGCAGATAAGCCAACACACACATATACACAAATAAAAATAAAATAAATAAATGTGTAATATATACAAGCATTAATCAAAACATAATAAAAGATAATTGATGAAGGATTATTTGACCTTAGAAAACAATGAAGAAAATATTTGCTTTAAATATAGATTATGAAGTATATCTAATACATTTGAGTATTTAAATTCTTACCAAGTCCCGTGCCATTACATGTGAAAAGGAAAAATGTTCGATTCTGAGGGGTTAGGTTTATCTCCATACAAAGAAGATTTAAAAAGACTTGTCATAATAAAAGTTCTCTATAAATCAAGTTAATTATATATGGAGAGACATATGTATAAATCCACATGTATCTCTATATAGGGAGAGTGAAAGAGATACATACATTAAACATTTGTTTTCTATTTCAGTGATTTCCCAGCAATAAATTGTTATCCACTTTGTATGTCTTTATACTTCCTACTTCATCAAGGTGATTAGTAATTCAGTCATGTGTCAATTAGTGACAACTTTTATGAATGTGCTTTATAATTGAACATCCTTTTTCATAAGGATTTTTAGTCAGATAATTTTTATCCTTTCATTAAGGAGTTATTTAAAATGAGAAATTAAAACACAGGGACAACAAAACATATTGAAGGCTAAACACAAACCAAATACAATGTACACAGTGTGCCTAATCCAAAGGTAAATAAATAAGACATACAATAGAATTGAATCACCTCTCTTTTTGCTTACAAACACCATCTTTATTTTAACCATTTTTTCTTCTTTTAAAAGATTTGTTTTGTTCTTTGTGTGTATGCAAAGAAGTACACACGGGTCATGATGGAAGCATAGGGGTCAAAGGAACAGTTTATGAAGTTGGGTCCATCCTTTCAGTTTACCTGAGCTCAGGGATTCAATTAAAATCTCTAGCCTTTGGAGATAAGCAGCACCTTTATGCACTGTCCTCATTTTCTCTCAATATTTAAAATTTTGTGCATTTTGAATCAGGTTAGTAGATTATATTAGTGTCAATCTCTTTAGCCTATCATAGATGTATAAATTATTAGAAGAAATGATAATATATGTGTCCAATGAGCAGGTTATTTGAAGGGTGCTGGGGGCGTAGTCTGCTTCTCTCATGTCACAGGATTTGGTTTGTCCCTTGCTGAAAAGATGATTTATGCTAGAACAGATGCTGAATAAAAGCATACTTTTTCAAAATTAAGGATCCATTTGATAAAAGTTGGATACATTGTTTAGTTCTCTGTCTTTATTATAAAATTGATAAGCTTCCATCTAATTTAACTAATATATTACTCAAAAAAAAATTTAATCCTTTTTTTATATGTTGTAACACTCCCTATGGAAAAGTTTATATGAGTAGCATAGTGACTAAGTAAATACATAATCAGTTAAATAATCAAACATAAGATTGCAATATGTGGGCTGGAGAGATGGCTCAGAGGTTTTGAGCACTGACTGCTCTTCCAGAGGTCCTGAGTTCCATTCCTGGCAACCACATGGTGGCTCACAGCCATCTGGAGTGAGATCTAGTGTCCTCTTCTGGCCAGCAAGCATATAGACAGAGAGAACGCTGTATATGTAATAAATAAATAAATATAAAGAAGATTGCAATATGTTTAATAATAATAAAACATAATATCTGTAATAGGTGTAGTAAATAAAGAAACCTGGATTTTGTGTTTGGGGGTAAATGAGGTATATAACAGCAGCGCTAACTTCATTAATTCTGTTCTAAGACCTTCCCTGAGATTGTTCTAGAGCATTAATTAACACCATTGCAGAATAATCCATTATTCTTGTAATTATTACAAAAATTACTAATAATGGATCCTCTCAATCAACTGAAGTGTGTAGGCTGTACACACAGTGAGAAATCTGTAGTGGGAATCTGCCCTCAGCACTAACTAAATTCGTTCAGTAAATCCTCCTAGTAAGTTCCTACTGGAGTCGACTCTGGTCATTCACCTTTGGACTTTTATATGTATTACATTTTCGCTTTCCAAAATACAGGCTTTGATCCTCATAGAGAGAAGTTTAGATCCCCTATGTCAAATGGCCAAGAATATCCATCTCCTTTATAATAAACCATTATGATGTCATGCCAACCACGGCATGTTAAATGATGGTAATAGGGATGCTATGCTAATAACATAGACATGTTAAGTAGATGAATATATTAAAATGAAATAAAAATGAAAAGTAACTTTTTTGAAGTGTACATTAGATAAAGGGATTTTTTTTGTCATACTTAAGCATTTAAAGAAAGATTGTCTCGGGGCATAAATATTAAGAATGTCTTGAGGGAGGGTTATTGCTAAGTACAAAAATTATTGTTACCAATTCTTGTATGAACTTGTGAAAAAACACCTTTTTATCTTACTCACTTAAATCTATCCTTTAGATGGATGAGACAAAGAGACACATAAAACATATTTTATTTAAATTTTGGACAAGTTATGTAAATTGAAGTTTGAACTAACTTTTAAATTAAGTAAGAAAAATTTGGGAATTAAAAGAGATATAAAAACAGACATCCACTTAAGTATGAAAAATTTGGACGTTGAATTAAAAGAGAGATAAGATGTCCCCATTTGTCTGCAGTAGGACTGTCCAATCTGACACTCTACTGAGAGATGCCCCTTTGTTCAGAGCCCTCAAAATTGCCCAGGCTTGAGGCTGTGGTGACGTTTAACCCTGAGTTTGATCTGCAGTGAACACACACACACACACACACACACACACACACACACACACTGTACCTACTTTTTCCAAATCTAAGTGATCTCATGCCATTGTTCTCATGTGCTCAGCCTCCTTAAGATTCTCTATTTGTTACTCTATTCTTTTCATACTGAACGATTACTTCAAATGACGCAGTGCCTTTATTTATCCTTTTGAAACTTCTCATTCCTCCTTACAGTATACATCCATCAGGGAGTCCATGTTTCCACATAGCATGTTCTCTTCTGATTGTAGGTTTCAAGAATGCTTAACGTTAGTGTGTGAATGGGTAAAGCTGTAATGCTCTCTGATTTAGTTAGGCTCATTAACAACTTCCTCAACTTTGACATTTCCATGGCTTCTATTCTTTGCCTGGTGTATTTATATATTTTAGAGATGCTTTAAGAAGAACTATCTGGCGTAGTTTTGGGATCTTAGTATAAACATAACTTTTTAGCAACTGTATAACTTCTGGAAGGGAAGGTTCTATGTAGACTTCAGCAAGAATTTCATGTGGCTTCTAGCTATTAACTCTGATATTTGAATCATTAACTCAACCAGCTCTTGATAGGACACAAATGGGGTTCCCTCTGACAGTTAGTCAGGCCTGATGGAGAACTAAACCAGGCATGGTTCCTGCACATAAAATATCCTGGACAGATAAAAGGCAGCCAGCAGGATATTTTCCTCAGCATTTTATTCTTTTCTCATTTACATTTATTGAGGAGATGAAAAGAAGAACTTTCTCTGAGGTACGTAAGATCAGAGAGCCTGTTGGGTGGCAAGGTGTCAGAGTTGGCTCACTTCTATGCAAGTTGTGTAAGCAGAAGGACCCGGAACAGGCACAGGTGGAGTGGCCTCCTTCCTTTAGCTTCCCCTACTGTGGCTTTAAAACTTACTGATGTTCAGCTCAGGATGTCTCTGTGTTTCATTTGGCTCAATCCTCTCTGAATATGCCAATGCTTGGAGTCAACCTCTTCCTTCAAAACCTTCATTGTAAATCAGGTCCACATGATATTAAGATGGCATAGAAATGCTAGATGATACATGAGCATGATAGATTTCCTTATTTAATTTTTGACTTGGAATCCTTATTATAAATTAGACATCAATTCCTTCTATAATATGAGAAATCTGAATGTCAGGTATATTGACCTTTGTGCTACCACAACGTAACAAGTCTTATAATCTTACTTTATATGTGCTTGCCTATAATTTTTAAACTCTAAAAGCACTTGAAAAGAAGCATGTATAGACATATGCATGTGTGTATTTATGTGAACATGCAATTTCACTGACTTAGACATATAGAAAATTGCACCAATCAAATGTGTGGAGCTCAAGGGCTTTTTCCAAACTGAGTTCATCCAGGTCTAACAAATGGGTGAAGACAGGGAACGTTATCCACACCCCTCCCCAAGGAACTCTCAATTCTGACTTTGAGTTGCCTAAACTACCTTTTGCTCATCTTGTAACTTAATCAGTTTTTGTAAAATAAGATAGACTTGAACATGGCCTTTCTCATTTACTGTATTTGTTGCTTTTCTTTGTTACTGAAGATTTTTATGCACCGTTTCTTTGTTATTTCAGGTATAATTATTTTCTAACACTTTTATAGAGCAGGGCAACCTTCACAATGAGTTCATTTCAGAGTGTTTGTATTGTTGCAGTGAAATTCTCCAAACAGTTGCTTCTCCTCATAATACCGTGACT